GGGAGCAGGGAAGAGCTGGTGCATGTGCAGTTGAATTTGTACAATTAGGCGCATGTGCCGGCTCTCCCCTCAGTTTCAAAGAACGTCTGCGCTGGCTCAGAGCTTTTGGACTTGTTTGGAGATTGTTTTATCCAAGTGAGTCCAAAAGCTCTGAGGCGGGCTGGATAATGACATGGTGGGATGGATCCGGCCCGTGGGCCGTAGTTTGAAGACCCATGGTGTAAACCTATGCATGTTTTGGTAGGAAAAAATCCTACAGCTCCCAGGATGGGAGCTGCCACAATGAACATTTTGCATTTTTACAATGTTGAGCAAATTGTGTATATTGCTAGGTAACAATGCTGATTAAATCCATACCAATTCCATGTTGCAAAATGTGGTGAAGTCAGCATGTGTGTGTATGACTACTTTATCATGGCACTATATACATGGGATTGCACCATTACAGTGTCAGAGTAAGGCGAAAGAGACCCCAGTTCATTATCTCCAGGCAACTGCGCAATTTATTTGTTGAACTTGGTACACATTTCTCAGGGTTGGTGTTTCCATCTTGCACACTTCTTGCTGTAGCCCTAATCCATCTCTGCTCAGCAGCTCTGAAATTCCATGCTATTTCAGAACCTGGCTCTTTCCAACTTATGGATGCATCCAGTGCTGCCTCAAAAAATTGCAGGGACTGCCACTCCCTTTAGGGTCATATATTTAAAATAAATATATGACCCTAAAGAGGTCATATATTTTATTTTCCTGGGCTCCAAGATCACCGCAGATGGGACTGCAGCCAAGAAATTAAAAGATGCTTGCTCCTGGGGAGGAAAGCTATGACAAATCTAGACAGTATGCTAAAAAGCAGAGACATCACCCTGCCAACAAAAGTGCGTACAGTCAAGGCTATGGTTTTCTCAGTTGCAATGTATGGCTTTGAAAGCTGGACCATAAGGAAAGGCTGAGCTCCAAAGGATTGAGGCCTTTGAATTGTGGTGCTAGAGGAGACTCCTGTGAGTCCCTTGGACCGCAAGGTGATCAAACCAGTCAGTCCTAGAGGAGATCAACCCTGACTGCTCTTTAGAAGGCCAGAAACTGAAGATGAAACTCAAATACTTTGGCTGCCTAATGAGAAGGAAGGACTCCCTGGAGAAGAGCCTAATACTGGGAACAATAGATGGCAAAAGAAGAAGGGGACGGCAGAGGATGAGGTGGCTGGATGGAAGCAGTCGGTGTGAGCTTAAGTGGACTCTGGGGGATAGTGGAAGGCAGGAAGGCCTGGAGGAATGTTGTCCATGGGGTCACGATGGGTCGGACACAACTTCGCGACAAACAACAACAAATTTAAAATAAAAATTTAAAAAGGTATTATGGTTCGAGTTTGTCCATAAGCTTTTTGGGAAGGCAGATTGTGACTGAGAAAATTTCCATCAATCTGTCCTAAACAAGTGCTTACAAAGATAAATAGTGGCGCAGCTTTGAATGTTACATGCATTCAGAAAAAAACCCAAAAGGAAATTGCTGCATATGAAAATATAGTTAAGGCATTCACCACTAGTTCTCTATATTGCTTCCATAATTAAAATATGCATAATGAAGAGATTAGACACTGTCATGATTATACTGTGCCAGCTCAGAGTAGTATTCTGCCCCTATAAAAAAAGCCAAAAAGCATTTATTTCTTCCAGTGTGCATCACTGATGAGTGATCTTTTACTGTCCCCTGGTGATTGCCACTAGGTATTGCAGTTAAAACGCTTTGCAAGATGAGAAAGTGCCATCGTTCTCTTTACCCTGGCATTCAGATACGATTTTACTGGTGAGTCTAGAATTAGCAGCTGGGCGAGTGGTGTAATCTATTGAAGGCTCTCAGAGGTTAGATGAAAGCCAGGGATGCAGTGGTAATATCTTCATTCTGTATTTTAATATGAATTACCTAATTTTGCACTTTTGAACCAATGCATAACCTGCAACTCAGTTAATCCTTCAAAGTTTGCACTTCTCTGAATTTTGCAATGCAGCACTTCATTCAAGCGATGCATATACAGAGGTGTATGTTAAGAGAAAAAGTGCATACAAAAATCTATATTCGTGAAAATGACATGCCAAACTGTATTAGGAAATATTGCTTGCACAAATGCTTCTCTTTTACAAAAACACGTGCAAAAATTATCCATTAGGAGAAATCCACACAACAAGCTGTGCAAAGAGCTGTGTGAACTGATGTGTGTTCTGTTCACAGTGGCCCATGAGCTGCCACAGGAAACCCACAAGTCGGACATGTGTGCAACTGCCCCCTCCTGCCCATGTTCCCCAGCAACTGGCGTACACCAGCACACTGTCCCCAGCACTAGAGGTAGCACAGAACCATCAGCACTAGTAACCATTGATTGGTTTTTCCTACACAAATCTGTCCAGTCTCCTTTTAAAGCCCTTCAACTGGGTGGTCACCACTCAATCTTTGCATGTGTATCCCGCAGTTTAAATTCGAATTCTGTGAAGAAATAGTTAGGGGCAATGAAAAGATCTGGCGCTCAGGTCCACAGGATGAAACAAGCAGACAGACCACCCCCATGCACAGACAAAATAATGCACATTATTCACAATAACTCACATTATACCCTAAAGCCACTCTAGTTTTTAAATTTAAAATCCAGTCCCTACAGACACCCCTATTTGTACAATGAGATGCATGGACAAGGAGAGAAGGGCATCTGATTTGTGGTGTGGGGGCTCAAGTGGGAAGATTCAGGGAGAGGGTGGCAGGAGATGAAAGGCATGTAGGAAAAATGCCAGCTAATAGGAAAGCAGTGGGGAGAAATCTGATGTATCGGAGATAATCGGGACCCCTGTGTCTGTTTCTAAGTATGGCCACGCCATAGATTTATCCAAGGGGAGTACAATCTTGGTCATTTTATCTTCAGTTCCTTTGCTAATTATGCCTAACATGGTGCCTTCCTTTTTCACCGCAGTGATGTGTGGGTCGACATTTTGAGATGGCCACTCCCCTTCTCCAAGAACCTTTCCTGATCACTCACTGCAAGCTCAGATCCCATCAGTTTAAACCTGAGTGCCTGGCCTTTTAGCCCAGCAGGCAACACTTCGCACTTGCCAACATTGAGCTGCATTTACCATTTTGACACCTATTCTCCTAGTTTAGTGAGATTCTTCTGGAGCCCCTCACAACCCCCTGAATTTAAGAGTGAAAAATGTGAAAAAAAGAGAACCAGATTGATGGATTTGGCCATCTGCTACAAAGACTGCCAAGAAAGCGACTGGTAAGTGTATAAAATTCAGTATGGAAGCAACTCCATGAATCAAAAAAGCAAAATTTCAGGGCACGGCATCCTTTCTTCTCTGGCCTGGGATTCAGGAAGTAAAGCAGGGCTAGGTGAGAGCTTTAGGTGAAAGGCAGCATGATAGGGTTTTAATGCAGGGAGATTTTGGTCCAATTTCATTGCAGCTACTGGAGTCACTGAGTGAAACCGTCTTTCCTGGCAAGCTCCTCCTGAGCTGCCTTCTTTGGCAGCAGTGGCAGCAGGCACGGAGGTGGGGTGCTGCTTGTGCTTCCGATGCTCAGTTCTAGGCTAGCGCCCTGCAATTGCTGGGTGCACTTGCCGGGAACCTGGGAAGTTTCTGGGCCACCACAAAGGGGACTGGAATCTGGGGAGCTGAGCCCAAGTAACTCAAGGGATCGCCATCCCTTAGTGGGCTCCTCACACACCCTTTGAGTGGGGTCCAGACTGGGGAAGGCTGCTGAGTAACTGATGAACCTCATATATGGAGGGATATTGATCGTTTGGATAAAGCTGTCAACATTGTGCTTCTGTGAACATCATGTAGGTGCTTTTTGTGACTGAATTATCCTTCTTTGGCATGGTTCCACGTGCAAATAAACCATAAGGTAAAAAAAGAACCACCTAAGCAGGGTGTGAAAATTAAATGATGGAAAAACAGTCAAGAAGAATCCAACTAATCTGATCCAAAGGAGGAGATATGTGGAGCTGCAAATGTGGAGTGGAGATCATGTTGATGGAATACTAAGAGGAAATTCCTGTCTTGATGAGATTAGGAAAAAAAGGAGAGGCACCTCCTTTGGCAGTATCCCAACAGTGATGCAATCAGCTCATGGAGCACTGGAGACGTAAGTTCATGAAGGATAATTTAAGGAATTGTAATTTGGATTAAAGTGTCCTACTAGGGGTCACAACCTCATGAGAACAATAGAAACAAATTAATGATGCTCTGGAAGTTTTGCTTACTCATCCAAGCCACCCCTCCTTTCTCCACGAGAGAAACTGGGCAGTGAAAAGTATAAGAAAGCAAGGTTCCAACATCCACTCACAGCTCACGGGCCAGTTGCCCCAGTAATACAGGTGATAAGAAGCGTCAGCCTGACTGGACAAAGCTGCACAACTGACACAGACCTCTAGCTCTTCTGCTTTCTGGAAGCAGATGTTTCCCCCTGTGCTGTCTTACTTTTAGGCTGGGTTCACATGCCATCACAAGCAACCCTGCATGGTTTCCATGCTGCACATTTTTTGCCTGGATATGCCCGATAGATGAGTTAGTGGCTTCTATGCTAGTGTGGTTTCCACCCTCCTTGCTCAGTCCTCCCCACTGGTGGCATCTATCCCACCAGCCACCACATGTGAAATTCAGTCCTCCTGCAGCAGCTCTTGCTCTTTCCAGGAGACTCTCTTGTAGCATCATAGAAACCGTGATGATGAGTTTGGAGGATCAGAGAAACCACGATGAAGCATGGAAACCATGGTGCCAACTACTGTTTCTTATCATGGTTTCTAAAAATCAAATGTATCATGCTGAAATACCATGTCAGCATTCAGATGACACAACAGATCATTATTTGCAAGAAACAACTGTGGCTTGTTGGGTCCTGCAAATGCACCTTTGATCTATAATGGTGTAGGATTCTTTGTTCTTTTAAGGTTCATGAATGTGGTTCTCTGCATGAGTTACATTGTGCTGTCTTTCCTTACAATTTTGTAAAATGAACACAATCAAGCTGTATCTTTATTCCTGTATACCTGTTCATTTTTTCACATAATAAAAAACTCTTATATCCTAAGTGGGTGGAGCCTTGTCCAGATGTAAAGAAGGGGGAGGTACGCCTAAGTTGAAGGCAAATGTGTATTAGGCACCAGTCAGAGAGCTTGTGTTTCACAAGCAGGGGAGTGTGGTTTGGAATACGGTGCAGAGAAACCAGCTCAGACAAGCAGCTGCCACAGTGCCAGGTGTGGTGGGTCGTTTATTCAGGATAGCATGAATATCACGCAAGAAGCTCTCTCTCGAACTGATGCATGACAGCTCTTCCCCATGAACGTATCAGGGTGCAAATCATCTTCCATCCGTGAGGTACTCCATAGCTGCTGCTGCTACTACTGCATGATCCTTCACTAAAGGAGCAGCAAGTCCTGTGCGATGCATGTGTCACGTCAGCCGTTGTGAGCAACAGCTGGGGTTTGAGGAAAGGTCCATTCATAGTGTGCTACGCAGTGGCATCACATTGTTCCCCAAAGGGCTCAGGGGCTTTTGCTCAGTTCCAGGGCCCCACAGGAAAAGCACCATGTCACTCCCCTCGGAGTGAGTTGCACACCTTCTACACCGCTTTACTAGTAACAAGTTGCTGTAGTTGAGGAAGGTGTTCTCTCTCCTCCTTGTTTGGCAGCACACACGTCTCCTTCGTTAATTTGGAAAGTAGCAAAGAATCATTGTCTTTGCTACTTTCCATATTGGAACCACCAGAAAAATGTATCCCACATGCTCTGAAAGTCCGATGAAAATCGCGCCGGGCATTTTCGCTCACCAGCACATAGATGAACGGGTCTGCCACAGCATTGGCTGTGGATAAGCCCAGGAACACCACGGAGGTGGTGTAGATCTTTTCTTCAAACGTGCTGCTATTGCCGTGGCACCAAAAAAAGTGGATGGATCGCACAAGCAGGACGCAGTGGTAGGGGGCAAAGCAGACCAGGAATATGATGATGATGGCGAGGGCCAGGTTCTTCACTTTGGCTTTGTGGCGTGGGCTGAGGCTGCTGCTGGCCTTAATGTTCTGGAAGACTTTGTAGTTCATGCAAATGAGGAGCCCAAAAGGGATGAGAAAGCCCACAAAGAACCGGATGATATTGCTGGTGGCCACTGTCTTGTTGACCGGCATTTCAAAGCAAGTCGTGCAGTGTTGTTCCTGTACTTTTTCTAAGAAGAACACAGGGCTATAGATCACTGCCACCGTGCCAAAGAGAACGACGGTGACCACAGTGGCAGTCCTTTGACATCGACACCACTTCCCTCGGCTCTCCAGTGCGTACGCCACAGCCACGTAGCGGTCTATGGAAATGCAGCACAGCAGGAGGATGCTGATGTAGATGTTGCAGAAAAAGATGTAGGTCACCACCTGGCAGGATATCCGTCCCATTTTCCAGACGTGCTGGTTTTGCACATAGACGATCCAGATGGGAAGGGTGCTCAGGTACATCAGTTCGCACAGTGACAGGCCACACAGGTAGATGGCAGTGATGTTTTTCTTGCTGATTTGGATGCAAGTGATGAAGGCAGTTAAGAAGTTGGTGGGCAGGCCCAGGGTAAACACAAGGCTGTACACAACAACCAGAAATTGCCGACTTTCTTCAAATGGAATTGACGTGGTAGGGCAGGTAGAGTGATTTGAGGCTGTCTTGTTCATTTCAGCTTCCTGCAATTCCAAAAGCAAAATGGAGAAGGTTAGAGGCCTTAAAGAAAGGACACAGATCCTCAGCTCCAGGGATCAAATCTGGCTCCACTGGGGTCCCACTCCAACCCTCTGAAGTTTCCCAGAGGCTATGCTTTCTTGCCTACTCCTGGCCCTCTTTTCTCCAACCAAGGGTATTTTGATAATTTTTCTTGTTTTTTTACCAATATCTCTTAAGTATTGTCTTAGATACTGAAAGTAAGAGCTGACTCTTACGGTAGTATTTTGGCTCTCCAGTCATGTAGAAGGAAGGATAGAAAGGTTGCGAGAGAAAGAGGAGCCATGGTGGAGCACATCAAGGTCATGAGAATATAAGAAAAGCTAAGCTGGATCAGAGCAATCGGTTCTCCCGTCCAGCACCCCATTCACATGTGGGAAACCAGTTGCCCACAGGTTCCTTCAAACAGGATGGCTGCAAGAGTCCCCTCCCGCTCAGGTTACTTGTGAATGCGGGCATGCTGTTCTGACCAGCAGCCAAATGCTCCTCCAGGAATTTGTCCAGTCCCCTTTCACAACCATCCAAATTGATGCTCGTTATTCCACCTCATGGAAGTGAACTACCTATGTGCTGTGTGAATAGGTCCTTCTTTTTATGTATCCTGAACCTCCCACCAATCAGCTTCATGGGAGGACCCCTTGGGGTTCTAGCATTATTGAAGATGAAGAAAAACGTCTCCCACTCCACTTTCTCCACACCATAATTTGAAGCACCTCTAGCATGTTTTCCTTACTCTCCATTTTTCTAAGCTAAACAATCCCAGTTGTAACTTTTTCTCACAGAATAGCTGCTCCAGTCTCTGGATCATTGTAGTTGCCCTTTTCTGCAGACTTTCCAAATCCACAATATCTGTTTTTAGGTATGGTAACAAGAACTCTGTGCTCTGTTCCTTGTACAGTTATTGAGCCTTGGAAAATGTATACGGCAACAAAAGAAGCCATTTTCGAGGAGTAGACACCAATATAGAGTTAAAGATTCAGATTTTGCTGACACTGAAAAGCCTTTTGGATTGTAGCTTGGGATGTGAAGAGGACCAGTGGAGGTTCTAGGAGCTCTTTGCTCCACCTGTTTCCCCCAAGTCTTCTCTACCCTGGTGCCTCCAGATAGGCAACTCCCATCTTGGCCAGCCAGAGTGACCATGGTTTTTTTAATATATATCTTCAAATATATCCATAAATAAAACAAACATGACAAAGGGTCTTATGCCTCCAACAGCCTTTTCCTTCAAAAGAAAGGCATGTCCTAGAAGTGCTGCCTGTGGAAGATCACCAAGGCAGTAGGACAAGAGGGCAATCGCTGTTGTTTCTTACTTAGGAACAGGTTTCATATGATCCTCTTGGGCAACCTCAGGCCTTAGAAGCCTTCCTTGGGTCCCACCCCTTACGTCTTAATTCCTGGCAGGGAGAATGTTAAGCTAAAATATGCCAGCTTTTAAAATTCATTTTCGTGTTTTTACCCCTTCATACTTTTGTATCCAGCTCCTCCCACTATTGAAATTAGCATTGTTCTATTACGTTGCACTTCTAGTCTACCTTTTATTTATTGATAATTGCATTTATATTCTGCCTTTTTTCCATCAAGGAACTGACGAAGGCTCACATGGTCCTCCTTTCCCACGCTGGTTTATCCTCACAACGACACACCTGTGAAGCAGGTCAGGCTGAGAGGGAGTCACTCACTGAGCTTCCTGGCCACGTGGGGAGTAGAACCCAGAACCCTTGCGTCCTCATCCGACACTTTAACCAGCCTCACACACTGGGCCCCTGAAACTCGCCGCACAAAGGAAAACAGCAACTTCTGCTTGCTCCTTCTGTCACTGCATTTGCCGTGTGCCTGCCCACCAGCTACTTCTGTGAATTTGAACCTGGTGCTTGGGCTGAAAGAGATGCTTCACCTTTGCAGCACACATGCTGCACAACTCTGCAAATCTGACAAAACTGTCATAACTTTGTTAAAAACCCAAGAACTGCAAGCCTTGTCTACTTGATTTATCAATTAAGCCTTAATCCCTGAAATGTGGGTTATTACCAACCTGTCTGAACCCAGCTGCACCGAAAAGCCAGAGTGTTTAATGTCAGACAAACTACACGGCTAACCCATGGATTATTGTTGGGCTGTGAATGGTGGGTTGTTCACCAGGGTTTCTTATCTTGCCTGGGTTCACACAACAGGATAAACCACTTTCCAAAAAGAAAGCCAGTGTGGTTCTAATGGTCAGAGTGCTAAGAGTGGGACGTGGGCGATTTGAGTTCTCCTCGACCATGAAGCTCACGGGGTGACTGGGCCAGTCTTTGGCCAACCTACTTCACAGGGTTCTTATGAGGACAGTGTAAGTGGGTGTGTGTATTTATGTGTGTGTGTGCATGCACACACATGAGAGAGAGAGAGAGAACTCTATATGCCATCTTCAGCTCCTTGGAGGAAAGGTAAGCTGCAATTGTAATGTATAAAGGTGTGTTATCCATTTGTGTTTTTATTCGTTTGGTTCTGTATTTGCTAGTTTTGGCACTCATCGAAGCAGGTACAATTATTATCAGGTTAGCGAAATTCTGGCCAAGTAGCCCCCCAGGAAAGAGCTCTGGGTGTCATGCAGGTAAAACCTCTTCTTCTTTACAGTCTAGTTCTTTGATGTAGGGGGCCACTCATAGGAAACGACAGGAAAAAGTCAGAAATCTTTTTAATGAAAGGCAGAGTTCGTGCCTGAAGTCATGAGGAAAAGGGGTCAATTGATAGGTGATTTCCAGGATCTGGCCTTTTAGCTCCAAAGTTGGGCTTACACCTGACTGAAATACTGTGAGATTTCTCTTTTTTGTTGGTGGAAACAACCCAGTTCCCCCTGTGCTGGTTGCTGCATGTTCTGCAAAAGTTTCCTGGGTAAGCTGACCACACTGGGTGGTGGTTTGTGTGGTTTGCTTCAAAGGCAGGACTTCCCTCCTCTGAAATTGTTTTTTCCTCCACAAGCACGTTTGTTTCGTGCGCCATGGGCACTTACCTGAAGGAGGGTCTCTTTGCATAAGAACTCAGGCCTCACTGCAAGGCCAGCATCCAAGCTGTGTCCCTTGCTCTAGTGGGTGCCCACGGATGTGAACTCATAGACTTGTCCATCTTTGTCACTGCTGCAACCTTCTTGTTCGCTTGCCTCACCTTGGCCCAGACGACGGTGGTGGGGACAGGGAGAAGCTGCAGGTGGCGCTGCCTGATGCGCTCACTGGCTTTCCTCTCGTTGAGCACGCAGGCAGCACCATGGATGAGAAAGACGAGTTGCGAGAGGGGCTGGTGTCATTGGTATTGAGAAGGCAGAAGCATGGAGTGGGGATGGCTGGGTGGGGATCTTGTCCGAGGTCCCTGCATCTTTGCTACTTGCAGACCAACAGAGACCACAGCCCTCCTGGCAGGATCTTGCAAAGCTGCTAAGGCTAAGGTGGCTTTTGATCTCTGGAGCCTCTGTTCATGTAAACAGCCCTGACCCAACCAGCACCCCTCCCCACCCATTCTCGTTTCCTTCTTTTAGGTTTCCTGTCCCGTTGCATGCTAAGAAACACGATGTGTAATGCCAGGTTGAAAAGAGAGCGAGAGAGTCTCAGAGTTCAGCACTTTACGACTGAACCTATCTATTGTGGACAGATGGATCTGTGGGCAGCACAGCCTGGTTGATTGGATCCAGGATGTGCTGTCCTCACTTGACCTTCATGCCTCTGAGGAAATGTTGGCATTCCAGGCCTTTGTCAGACTCCTTGTTGATTTTGCTGGGACAGACAAAGTACAGAGCCTTCTCAGGGATTCTCATCAAATGCTGGTGATGCATCACGCCGTTTCCCTCAAGCACCAATCCAGGGCAGCAGACACACTCCTTCGCCTGCATTTTACCATCACAACTACCCCGAGCATCAGTGGCTGGCCCAAAGTCACCGAGTGGCTCAGCAGGGGCTAGAACCCAGGTCCAACACTTGAATCTCCGTATGCCATACGGATGGGTGGTTTTTGAACTTTCTGCCTTCAGAGGAAGTTTCAACTTCCTGTTTCTTCTTTGCATGGGCTTGTCTTGCTTGGAACCCCTCTGCACTTGTATGGAATTCTTCCACTGCAAAGGTTCACCCCCCACCATTTTTTATTAAGAGCAAAAGTGAAAAATAACAATGCTAAAGAAAATATAGCAGAGAAACACCAAGGGATTTCAAGCAAGTGCCGCACAGAACATCAAGTACAAAGAAAAAAGAAAAAAATGCTTTAAGTCAGTATTCATTCTCCTCTCTACTCAGTCATATTTTTTAGAACTTAGTTAAAATTCATTAAAATTCTACTAAATTGCAGTTCTTCAACTTACTGCACCTTGACTCAACTTTCTAAAACAACAAACATCCATCTCTAATACGTCCCCCAAAATTACATTTCCCTTACACTCATGATTAATTTCTTTGGCTGGTTATCGTTTAAAAGGTTAATTAGTCTTACTTCCACCGCAAAGGTTTAGAAACACAGAAATATAGCGAGTCAGAAGGGGCCTCTCCGGCCATCTAGTCTGACCACCGGCTCCAGCCAACTCCACTCATGACATACCTACCATGTGCATGTCCAGCCTATCCTTGAACACCCTCCCCGATGGGGCCTCAACCACCTCCCGTTTTTACTCATCAGTCCATTCCATACTCTTGGGGCACCAACTGTCAGGAAGTACTTCCTGGCATCCAGATTGAACCTTGGTTCCCTGAGCTTGGCTGCACTGGAACGCATCCTGCCCTCCTCTGCAAGGGAGAACAGGTCTCCAGCCACCTCCATGTGGCACCCCCTTACTAGATCACTCGCTATTATGAGGCTTTCCATTGTCTTTCCTACAGTGGACATAAGGCTAACCAGCCTGTAATTCCCCATGTCCCCTCTACTACCCTTTTCGAAAATTGGGACCACTGATACCACCCTCCAGTCCTCTGGAACCTCACCCATTCTCCACGAGGCCTCAAAATGGAACCCAGTGGGCATGAGGGAACCCACTCCAACTCCCAGTATTCTCGGGTGTAACCCATCAGGGCCCAGCACCTTTGTAATGTCCAGTGCCCTGAGGAGCACCTTGACTTCTGGGGGGGTGTGTGACTCTAATCTGTGCCCCTAAATCCCCAGGCTCATCTGATTCCCCAGGCAGATCTCCCCCATCCTGCTTTGGGGAGAACACAGAGGCAAAATAGTCATTTAGCATCTGTGCCTGTTCCCTCACATCAGTCACTGAATCCCCTTCCTCCTTATTAAGTGGTTCTACTGCTTGTCTCCCCTTCCTCTTGCTATTTACATGTTGGCAGAAGCCCTTGTGTTGCTCCTAATGTTCTTTGCAAGTCTCAGCTAACAATCAGCCTTAGCCTTGCGAAGAATCCTTCTGCCACGGGCCTCCTCCTCCTGGTTTACCCTTTTGTCTACTTGCCCCAGTGCCCGTTTCCTATGGAGGTTCCTCTTTCGTCTAATCCCTCTAACCACCTCCTTTTGCATGCATGGCGGCACTCTCCTTCACCTCTCCGCCTTACTAACTAGCGGTATCATCAAGGCTTGCACCTCCAAGACCTCTGTTTTGAGTGCCATCCACCCCTCCTCAACTCCCTTGCCTTCCAGTACCCTCTCCCAGGAGACTTTTCCCAGTCTGGCCTTCAATTGGCCAAAGTTGGCTGTCTTGAAGTCCCAGCTTCTAGCACTCAACCTGCTGCTCATCCTCATTCCCCTGATCTCAAAGCAAAGGATGGAGTGATCACTCGCATCCAGAGCTTCCCTAATCTGCACCCCATCTATCAGCTTTGGTGTACATGTATCTCAGCTCCTTCCCTCAGATCCCTTTCTTTGGGATCCCCGGCCTCCTCCTTCCTCTCATCTTCCCTGATACTGGCCTGCTCTTCATAGGAGCCCTGCCAGCCCCTGCAGTACCTCTAACACCCTGGTCCCAAAACCCTGATCCTCTCCCCTCACTTGTCCAATCAGGACAAGTTTCTGGTGGGCCTGAACCCCATCGGCTCAGTTTAAAGTCTTCTGGACTGAGCTCGCTAGAGCATTTCTGAAGGATCTTTCCCCCATCCTCATGAAGTGCAACCCAACCCTCACCAGAAGCCTGTTGGCAAGAAACCGGGTGCCATGGTCGAGGAACCCGAAGCGTTCCTTCTGGCACTACACCCTCAGCCAGTCGTTCACCTCGGCAGCCCTCCTTTCCCTGGCTGGCCCAAATCCCGAGTCCAGCAAGACAGAGGTAAAGGGGCTTCAAAGTCCCTGGTGATCCCACCCACTCCTTGGCTGGCTGTGTTGTTCGTCCCCATGTGGGTTACCAGAAGCAGCTGGTGACCCCCGGAGGGAAGGAGATGCTCTACTCTGTCTATCACATTCTCCTGGCAGGCAATAGATCTCCCTCGCCTCAAGGTCAGGGCGGCACACCGCTGCCTCAGTGCCCCTTAGCAGGGAGTCCCCGCCGCCGATCACCCGCCACTGTCTCTTCCTGGTGGCGGTAGACGGCTGTGCCTTGGCCCTCGATTCTCCTGTAGCGCCCCCCTGGCTGCATCTGGACCCAGGCTGGGGATTCTGGACAGGTCGGTCTCCCAAGTCCTCATCAGCCCCAGCCTCCCCAAGCGGAGAAAACCCATTTCCCAGCTCCAGGTTGGCGCCAGGAGATGGAGGAGGCCGTGCTGGCCTCCTCCTCCTGTGGGTGACATGCCCCCATGTCTCCCCGGCTGTTTTCCCCTCGGCCCCTCCCTCAGCCTTCTGTCTGGAGGGCGGCTGCTCCCGGGGGCCTGGAGAGCTCTCTCGGCCCTCAGGCACCTCAGCTCCTCCTCTGGGAGGGACACCAGCTTGCACCAGGGGCAAGTGTATCCCTGCCTCTCCTGAGGGAGAAGGGCGAACATGTCACAGGTGTTGCCGCAGAGAGCAACACCTGTGATTCCCACCAGGAACATCTCCTGGCCTGACATTTGGTACCCCTCGCAGGCCCTACCTTCTTCCTCCGCCTTGTCTGTCCCTAACCCTAACCCTTCCCAGACTTTACTAACTCAGTTCTCCCAGACAAAAACACCCAAAAAACCCCAAAATGAAAACAACAACAAAATAAAACAAAACATTAATTAAAACTAATTAAAACTGCCCCCGGGGAAGAGAGTCCCCGGCAGCCCAGGCCGCAGCTAAGGGATGCAGGCAGGGGGTGCTGCCCTTGTCGCATTGCCCTTAATGTGACGCCGTTGGCACTGCCAGTGGCTGAGCGCGGCTTTATGAGCCTCAGAGGCCGCCGGCCCCGCCCCCTGCTTCCTCCTGGGCCTCTCTGGCCTCTCTGGCCCCGCCTCCCTTCCTCTCCACTGCTGCTGCGCCCAGCTGCTACCTTGCCTTCGCCAGCTCCCTGGCCGCCCTCTGCACACTCTGCCAGCCTCTGCCGCTCCACTGCTCTGCCAAGAGCCCAAAGAGCTCGCAGCGGCTGAGTGCGGCTTTATAAGCCTCAGAGGCCGCTGGCCCCACCCCTCTGCTTCCTCCTGGGCCTCTCTGGCCCCGCCTCCCTTCCGCTCTGCTGCTCCTGGCCCTCTGCTCCTCTGCCCAGCTCCTGCCTTGCCCTCGCCAGTTCCCTGGCCACCCTCTGCACACTCAGCCAGCCTCTGCTGCTCTGCCAAGGGCCAAGGGAAGGTGAGAAGGAATGCACTCACTGGCCAGGTCTCTTGTCCATCTTCTTGGTTTATCTATTTATAGCTTTTATATTTTGCCTTTTATGTATGGCATCTCAGGACGGCTAACAATATTAAAATCAAAATACAATAAAACACTCAGTACAATATAATGAAACAACATATAACCAATAACATAAATTAAATCAAGTGACTGATTAAAACCATTAAAATACAGTGGTACCATGGCTCATGAACTTAATCCGTTCCATGACTCTGGTTGTGACCGAAATTGGTTGTGACTCAAGTCAAATTTCCCCGTAAGGTTCAATGTAAATAAAGTTAATCCGTTCTGTAACTATTTTTTTTTAAATCAGAAATTTTTGAAACAAAGTGACAAACAACAACAAAGTAACAAAGTACTGTATAGTACAGTGGAAAACACTAACCTAGGTGGGTGGGGAGGTTATTGCTTTGAGGGAGAGTCCCCCTCCATAAGGACATTGAGGAGATCTCTTTCAGGGGTTTCCTCTCTTCTTTGTCTCTTAGCTGCAGGGTCAATTTTGGTGAAAAATCTGTCTATAGTCACTTGCTTTTTCCTGTGCTGCATAACCATCCAGAAATGAGAGACCACATTATTGTCATCAGATTCAACACTGTTTGTTACAGTTATGTTGGGGTGGTGCTTCTCAAAGAAATCCTGGCATGGGTGTGCTCCTGCAGGAAAGACGGGTGCAATCTCGGCCATCTCCCCCGTGCCCTGCAACCAGCACGATAGCAGCCATCTCCCCCACCCCCTCGAGTGGGAAGATGGCCACGACTGCATTTGCGTTCGTGCAGGGAAGACGTGCGTGATCA